TATTTACCTGTGGCTGATTCATGTTGAGGTTTGGCAGAAACCAACACAATTCTGTAAAGCAAGTATCCTTCAGTTAAAAAAGTAAATAAATTTAAAATTAAAAAAAAAGGTCAGTCCCAGGAGGGGAGAGACTTCAGGTACCCTGTTCATGGCACAAAAGACATTTTCTAGCACAGAGTAGGCACTTAATAATCATTTGTTGAATGAATTAGAGGAAGTGGACAGTGAGTACAGACAAGTTTTTCAAGGATTTTTGTAATAAAGAAGGATAGGAAGCGGGGTGGGAGCAGGAGGGGGTTGTAAGGTCAAAATTGTTACGTGTCTTTAAGTATTTAGATAGTAAATATTAGAGCTCATTTGTATGCCCATCCAGTGGGGAGGGTAGTTAATGCAGGAAAAAGAGGAGATCATTTAGTATGAAAGACCTTGAGAAGGTTAAGAGGGGTTGTCTGGAGCAAGGACGGGTCTTCTCTGTAGAGGGGTGCACACGGGTATGGGGTGGCTGACTGATGTGGTGGCAGGGAGTGGGTGTTCGTTTTCATTGCTCGTCTCGTCTCAGCAAAGAATCAGGGTTATCTGCTGAGTAGAAAGAGGGCAAGGAAAGTCTGAGTGGAGAAGTGGACTGCGGTAGTTTTTTTTGGGAGGCTGGCGGTTGATGATTAGGAATATGTAGTAGGAATGCCAGAAGCACTGAACAAGGAAATGACTGCAGTCAGTGATCAACCACAGTGGAAAGAGGAAGGCGGGGGCCGGCGGGGCGGGGCGGGGTGGAACGGATGGCCAGAGAGTCAGGATAGGGTCGGGAGTTTGCGGGATGGCGGGAAAGTGGCAGAGTTTGAAGGATCACAGCCCCAGAAAATAGAACTGGGGAACTAGAGGTGTGAGAGGAAGGGTGGTTAGAGAGCAGGGACTCGAAGTTGCCGTTTGGAGGTAGGCAGTCTGGTAATAGTGGGGTCCAGGGTGTGTCCTGGGAGGAAGGGAGCTCAGGTGATGGGGATACCGCTGTTGGTCCCTTTCTCTCCACTGTGTGTTTTCTCTTCTCTATGACTTATTTCATACATTTAAAAAAAAAGTATCTATGTTGGCACATACATGCAATGCCAATAAACATTCAGATGCTTAGCTTGTATCATAGGAAACTGCTGGTACTTGACCAGTTTTTATCTGCAGAAATGTCAAATCACATGGCTCAAATTAAATGTTTCCCAGTTTTTGCCACTTTCTTTTCTTTCTTTATTTTTGACTGCGCTGGGTCTTTGTTGCTTTGCATGGGCCTTCTCTGGTTGCATCGAGCGGGGGCTACTCTCTAGTTTCCATGTGCAGACTTCTCGTGGTGATGGCGCCTCCCGTTCTTGAGTGTAGGCTCTCGGTGCTCAGGCTTCAGCAGTTGCAGCTCCTGGTCTCCAGAGCAGGGGCTCAGTAGTTGTGCAGATGGGCTTGCTCCATGGCATACAGGGTCTTCCCCAACCAGGGATCGAACCCGTGTACCTGGCATTGGCAGGCAGATGCCTATCCACCATGCCACCAGGGAAGTCCTTTTGCCACTTTAAACAGCTTCAGTGCACTGGCTTGTACGCATGTCTTCATGCGTGTCTCTAGGACCTCACGTGGGCATGGGGCCAGAGCCACACAGTGCACTTGGCTTGACCAGGAGGGGGGAGAGGCCTCCACTCCCGCCAGCAGCGTCAGCAGCAGAATTCCTTTATCCTTACCAACAGCAGCGTGGTTGTGTCCAGCTGCTGAATTACTGCTGTCCGCTGGATGTGGAATCATTTAGCATGCAGGTAACTGCCATAACCTTCTGCCTGTCTGGCACGAAGTCAGTGGCCCGTAAATGCTCGTGCCATAATTATTGGCAGGCTGCAGTAGATGTTTTTTGTAATGATTGATTGAAAGGAGTATATTAATAAGCAAAATAGGTTATGAAGCAGAGGATACCCTATGACCCCTTAATCTCTATGTATGGTGCTCATGTTTTGGTGGTAAGATTATGGGTGATATCTCTATTTTGCTTATCTGTATTTTTAAACTTTTCTATAATAAACATTTAATGCTTTTATAATTAAAATATCCTAACAACTAATTTTCATTATTTAGAGATACCCTAAGGGATATGAGGCAATTTTAGCTTAATGTACTAAGCTTCCTGTCAAATCTATAGTAAAAAAAAAAATTTTAAATAAACAAACTGAACTATTAAGGGGCAGAAAAATAATGTCATAGGTTATGCCTTTAGATTTTCGTAGTTCCTAATGCTAACTATCAATAAGAACAACATCTGCTGCTAGGATGACCTCACTGATAGCATTGATTGATGAACCACGGATGAAAAGATGTCAGCAGGTTTCTTTTGTATTTGTATGTGTGTGGTAGTGGTGGTGGTTCTTCTCTCTTCTTTCTCTCAAGCACATTTTCTGAAAATTAGTGCTTCCTGAATCAGTTTGATACCAGGGAACAGTAGTTTTTGACCTTGGCTGCATATTGCCATCATCTTTTAAAAAATATTGATAAAAATACTGCTTTAATCTCAACCTTGGAGATTCTGATTTTGTTCATCTGGGGTGGGCCAGGCATCAGTAACTTTCCAGTAACTGGAAAGTAACTTTCCAGCTGAATCTTATATGCAGTCAGAATTGAGGATCATTGCTATAGGAGAAGGGTTTGCCAAGTTTTCCGTAAAGGGTCAGATGCGTGCATGCTAAATTGCTTCAGTCATGTCTGATTCTGTGTGACCCCATGGACTATAGCCCGCTAGGCTCCTCTGTCCATGGGATTCTCCGGGCAAGAACACTGGAGTGGGTTGCCATGCCCTCCTCCAGGGGATCTTCCCAACCCAGGGATCAAACCTGCCTCTCTTACATCTCCTGCATTGGCAGGCAGATTCTTTACCACTAGCACCACCTGGAAAGCCTCAAAGGGTCAGATAGTAAGGTTTTATGCTTTGCAGGCCATATGCCTCTGTTGCAGATACTCTGCCACTGGGGCATGAAAGCGGCCATGGAGAACACATAAATGAATGTGCGTGGGTGCACTCCAGTAACATTTAGAAAATGGGTGGTGGGTTGGATTTGGCCCAAGGCTCTGGTTTCCTGACACCTGCTATTGAAGGTACAAAAATATGGGAGTTTTCTCTTATTTTATTTCATCATTTTTTCATTGATTTATTTTTGGCTGTACCACATGGCTTTTGGGATATTAGTTCTCTGACCAGGGATTGAATCCATGCCTTCGGCAGTGAAAGCACAGAGTCCTAACCACTGGACCACAAGGGAATTCTCTCTTTTAATAACAGCAAAATCTGACCAGAAGAAAGGTATCGTTTTGCATGATATCATGAAAAGAATGCAGAATTTGAGGTTAGAAGCCTTGAGTTCAAATCTTGACTCTAAATTAGCTGTGTAATCTTAAGGCAGTCACTTAATCTCGATGATCTTTATGCATTTGAGAACGAGGACAATAATAATACACACTTCATAGGGTAGTTTTAAAGATCAAATGGAATAAGGCATATGATAGTGCTTTATAAACTGAAAATGCTAAGCACATATTGCTTGTTCTCACAAATTGCTTGTTGCTCAGCATCTTGTAGATTCATGTGTAATAAACATTAAATATTTAAAAGTAAAAGCAAATTAGAAAATTTGAATTTAAATGTAATATAAATATGAAGACTTGGAAAAACGAGCTATACATTATGCATTTCTCTTCCCTTGCCAACAAAGTGACTTTAGATTGGTAATAACAGAAGATGGTATAAATACACATTTTCCCAAAGTAGAATTTTCTCAGGAAACATTAGCTTTCATCACAGGTGTGGGATTTGTGGTGGGAGCGGCCAGTGGGGAAGCTGGGGAAGGAGGAAGGGGAGGTGCGGGTAGGAGTCGACCGTGAGGCCTGAGGGGAAGCTACGGCCGTGGGCAGCGCATCCGTGACCTGCAGGAATGCATTCTCAGCAGAGCAGGAACGGCGGCCAAGCTGCAGCCAGGAGGGAGTGGGCGGGGAGGAAACGGAGGCAATAGGCGGACACAGTTCTTTCTACACATTTGGCAGAAAAAGAGAAAAAATAGGGTGTCGCTCAAAAGGACATCAGGGTTGGGTAGATGTTATCTCAAAAAAGGGAGGGCAGTCATGGTTGGAGCCCAGGGGTGGGAGTGGGACTAGGATCCGTGGGAGAGGGAGCCAGAGGGCAGACAGGAGGGAGAGTTGAGAATTAGATGGAGAGAGGTCCAGGGGAGGTGATCGTATCCCCAGGCGGTAGAGCCCTGGCTGCCGTGAGGAAAGTTGGGGTGGTTGGTAGGGGTGGGGAGCCTTACAGAGCAGGCATCGCAGACAGCTCCATCAGCAGCCGACCAGAGATGAGCGTCCTCCCTCCGTGCACTGCCCTCTCTGGACTTTACTTTTACTCTTAGATGCCACTCCGCCCTGTCGTTTAAACAGAGATCATGCATTTATGAACTCTAAGCTCCTTGAGTGCACGACTTATGTCAAGTTCAAATTCACATCTCCTGTAACACTTGGCATAAGACTTGTGGGTAGCTCATGTTTACTGTCGGACATGTCAGGAAAGAAATGAAGGGAAGTTGCCATGAATATAGGACTGAGTCAGCAGACTCAATTAAAAATGCCTTCCTAATAAATTAAAAGTCACTTCTACCTGGGAGCCCACCCTGACCACTTCTTTTCTCTCCAAATTTGGGTTAGATACCCAGACTGTGTTCTCCCAGAGGCATCTGTACTTCCTCATGGAATTTCACACCCTCTTTACTTGATTGTCTTGTTAGTGCCCCATGTCTGTTGAACTGCAATTGAAGGCAGCGCTTACATCCTTCTTGTCTCTCTATTTGCTTCACTGAGCACACAGCCTGGCACACTCAGCACATCATTGGTTCTCATTAAGTATTTGTTCAGCTGATTACAGCCTAACGGTTGGGGATCTGCAACCTTAGAACCAGTTGTCAGTTTTCGGGTCTCTCTATCTCTTTTAAACCCTGCCATTGTAGGAGGAGATTCGGTGCCTTCTAAAGGACTTCAGCCCTCTCCATGTCCACAGAGTCCAGAATGGCTGTAAATGGTAATGACCGTTCTTCCTTTGTTTTCTTTGGGAAGCAACTCCTTTCCTCTTTGTCCATTTTGCTGATGCACTGATCCTGCGGACCAGCTCAACAGCTCCCAGAGCCCCGCCCATTGTGACTCGGCAGAGGGACATGTGGGAAACCCCCTTTCCACATTCAACCCTCTGCCTCGGCAGCTAATACTGCCTTATCCATACAACCTTGGGTTAGAAGTCCAGAGCCCTGGGTTTACTTTTGTTCTTGTCCTTTCTCTGTTTTCTGACTCGAAGCAAGTTAGTGAACCTCCCTCAGCCTTGGTTGCCCCTGAAATCTGGATATTTTTCCTTTCTTATGTTCAAGGCAGTAAAAGGACTTTGAACCCCATGGGGAGCAGTATGAAGGAAACCCAGAGCCATGCCCTATGGCATATGGTGAAAGGGTCAGCGCATGTCTCCCGGTCCCCAGGACCAGCTCCCCCACTGCCCAGCCCAAACCTGGGTGTCATGGTGGCCTCCTTGTGTGTTAGGAGTGGCCCAGCCTCTCTCCTGTCCCCGCAGAGGGGAGAGGAGACCATTCCTTGGCTCGGGACCCTCCTGCGGCTCTGTTTGAGCTGGGCTCAGAGCTGCCGTCTCCTTCCTTTGCAGCTTCGCATTCGTAGATCTGGGCTCCATGCAGAAAGTGGCACTTGCCATCCAGGCACTGAATGGGAAGCTTTTCCACCAGCGAAAACTGTACGTGAATTCCAGCAACAGGTCTCCCAAGAGGACCCCTGATGTGACCGAGCGGCCCCAGGAGCTGCTGGTAGGTGCCTGGCCTCTCCACTCTCAGGGTTGCTCTGTGGTCACTTTTTTTTTTTAGTTTTTATTTGTTTAGTTTTGGTTGTGCTGGGTCTTCGTCGCTCCACGGGGCTTTTCTGTAGTTGTGGCAAGCAGGGGCTAGTCTCTAGTTGCAGCGTGGGCTTGGCATTGCAGTGGCTTCTCGTTGTGCGGTGGGCTCTAGGGCACATGCGGGCTCAGTCGTTACTCTCGAGCTCTAGAGTACAAGCTCAGTAGTTCTTGCACATGGGATCTTCCCGGGCCGGGGATCGAACCTGTGCCTCCTGCATTGACAGGCTGATTCTTTATCACTAAGCCACCAGGGAAGCCCATCTGTGGTCACTCTTCAGAGCTTAGATGACTCTGCTTTCTGTCCTCTCTTTCTGTCCCATCTTACAGTGGACAAAACAGGGTCTGGGATGAAATTACGGAACTTTATGACTTTAACAGTCAGGAGCAAGGTTGGTGTAGAAGACCTGGAACTTTGAAATGAAAGGAAGGCTATATTCTTGGCAAGGACAAAAAGGGTTATTGGGCAATTTAGTCAGGGCTTTTTCCACCTGGGTTATTGACACTGAGGTTTTTACTTGTTTAACACAGCAAACAATTGTATCTGTTGTTTGCATAGCCTTATTCTGGCTGCTGGTGTGCAAGGTAAGGAAGGCAAAAATGAGTAAAACCTGATCCTTTCTGGCGGGAAGACAAGTATGAGGGCTGGGAAGGTGAGAGTTAATGGTGGGGCAGTGGCTGGTGGGCGCTTCCTTTGTGGACAGAGAAGAGAAGGCCCATGACTAACCTCCAGGAGCTTCCCTCCAATGGTTTTTCTTGAGCTTCCCTCCAATGAAGCAGGCTCTATGTAGGTGAAGGTGAACCAGAAGAAAAGCTTTTTGCTTCTCTTTGCTGTAGAAGAGTTCAGGAGGTAGGGGGTCCAAGGGTGGTATGGGAACTCCATGATGCTAACCAGGGTTCCAGGTGGGAAGAAGGGGAGAAGCAGAGGGTCCAGAGCCTGTGTTCTCATAAAAGGCACATTCTCAGGAGCCCTACCACAATTTTGCTTACATTTTGTTAGGGAGAACTGCAACTGGTGACCTTCAGTGCAAAGGAGGCTGGAAAATGTAGCTTTTAAAATAGGCGCACTGTTGCTAAACTTGGGAATCTGTCAGCAAGGGAAGAGAGAATGCCTTTTGGCAGGCAATTAACAAGGTCAGCCAAGGCTGGAGAAGTTGGAGATGGGAGTTGAGAGGTGGATTAGAATCTCCGCAGCAAGAGTGCCAGAGGTGGCTCCCTTTGCTAGTTCCAAACTGTTTTTCTTCCTTTCTCTTTAAACCCTCTCTCTTGGAAGGGCAAGCTGTCAGATTACGCTACCTACTGACCTTCTTGGTTGCAGTCATCTGGCGTTCTCTCTGTCGTGCTCCGCTGTTCATTGATAACTTTAGCGTCTGACTCACTGTCTTTCTCTCTTGCTGGCACTCAGATTGTGTCCTGTGGATGATCTGTCTAAGAGTCTGGCCCCTTATTTCCTAGACCATTTATCTTCAGTGATCTTTCCTTTCACTCCATCACAGTTTCCTGTTCCCTGTATTATATCTCAGACCTTGTCATGGCTCATAATTGGACATCTCCAAAATATCCATTTGGAGCATCCCACTCTGTCCCTCACCACTTCTCTGCAGCTCTCCTCCTCTAGAAGAGCAGTTCTCCAGCTTTAGCAGCATCAGAGTCACCACTGAGCTTGTTAAACAGCTTGCTGAGCACTGCCTGCAGAGATGCTGATTGTGTGCATATGGGGCGGGGCCTGAGAATTGTGGCACTGTGCCACAAGTGCCAAGTGGCGCTGGCACCCTTGGTCCTGGGACCACTTTTTGAGTAGCAAGGCTCTAAAACCCCCAGTCTAACAATCAGACACACTGGGACTCAAAGCACTGCCCCTACCACTTCTTCACTGTTCAACACTCTACTCCCTCACTTCCCTTCTTAGCTTAGATTCCAGAATCGTAACTGCCTTCATTCAAATTACCTTAATTCCCTTAGCTCACTAAGTCATATCTTGCACAACAGCTCCCAGGACCTACCCTGCATATGGGCAGCGTAGGATTCAGCCAAGGACCTGGGGTTAGCCCCTAGATTTCTGGGGCTTTTCTGTACTCTCTTCTCAGTGGTTCCCCATCTCATAAATTCCCGGCACCAAACCGCTTCTGTGTGTTTCTTCTGCTCAGGGTGACTGCCACTGACTGCCCAGGCTCTGCTTGCCTTGGCTTTGAATTGGGAAAATGCCCCCCTGGCAAGGGGCCAGAGTCAGTGTGGGCTCCTGGCCTGTGCTTTCCTCTCCTCAGGCAAATTGCCCTCTGCTATTCACTATCATTACTGTGTACCAGAAACAGTTAATTTGTGTATTTTGTCTAGTTTTAGGGTTGTTTGGGATAGGTAAGTACTGTCATCCAGAACCAGGTACAAGGAAAGAGTGTTTAGAGGCTCACCTTCCTTTTGGGATGAATATCATTTCTCAGGACTATTTCTGGTGCTTTTGCATTAGAGATAAGTAACCAAAAGATGAACACTAATCTCCATGCTTTTGGGAATTTAAAGACATATTCCTAAGTAAATAACGTGTGGGTCAAAGAAAAAATTATAAGAGAAATTTAAAAATACTTAAGAAGACTTCCCTGGTGGTCCAGTGGTTAAGACTTCAGGCTTCCATTATGGGGGGGTGGGTGGGCATGAGTTCAATGCCTTGTCGGGGAGCTAAGATCCTGCATGCCACACAGCTCGGCCAAAAATTTTTTTTGAAAAAGTACTAGAATTGAACAGTAGGGAAAATTTTTTCTCATCAAAAGCTGTGGGATATATGTGCTCTAGAGCCCACATGCTACAACTATTGAGCCCATGTGCTGCAGATACTGCAGCACATGCACCTAGAGCCCATAATCCATAACAAGAGAAGCCCCCGCAATGAGAAGCCTGCTCACCACAGCGAAGAGTATCCCCTGCTCGCTGCAGCTAGAGAAAGCCTGTGCGCAGCAACGAAGACCCAGTACAACCAAAAAAATAAAAAAGTTGAATGCAGCAAAAGCAATACTTATGGGGAAGTATGTAATACTGAATGCTTAAATGAGCAAAGGAGACATGGTGAAAATAAATGAGCTTATAGTTGATTGAAGTAGGTAAAAATAAAAATAAACCCAAATAAGGAACAGACAAAATTAAAAAAAAAAATGTTTATTTGGATGTACCAGGTCTTAGTGGAGACATGCAGGATCTTTAATTGTGGCATGTGGGATCTAGTTCCCTGACCAGGTATCAAACCCTGGCCTCTTGCATTGGGAGTACAGAGTCTTAACCACTGGACCACCAGGGAATTCCCAGCAAAAATTTTAAAACAAAGTTGTTTAAAATTTAAAATTTTGTGGACTTCCCTGGTGGTCCAGTGGTTAAGAATCTGCCTGCCAGTGCAGGGAACATGGGTTCTATCCCTGCTCCAGGAAGATCCCACGTGCCACAGGGCAGCTAAGATCGTGGGCCGAAACTGAGCCCACATTCTAGAGCCCGCGAGCCGCAACTGCTGAAGCCAGTGCGTCTAGAGCCTGCGCTGTCTGTGCAACAAGAGAAGCCACCGCAATGAGAAGCCCATGCACAGCCAGGAAGAGTAGCCTCCACTTGCTCCAACCAGAAAGAATACCTGTCTAGCAACTAAGGCACAGTGCAGCCTTAAATAAATAAATAAAAATAGCATTTCTTCTTTCCCTTTTATAAAAAAATTTTTAATTTTTTTTTGTAAATAAAGCTGTAGCTATATGTCAGTTATAGTTCCGTAAAACTGGAGGGGAAACTAGAAGCATAAAAAACAAAGCTTCAATAGAAGGGATCAATAAAGTCAAAATTTGATTCTTTAAAGAGATTAATGAAAAAAACTTTTGGAATGATTAATTAGAAAAAAGGAGAAAAGGTAATAAACATTAAAAAAGAGATCATAACTATAGATGTAGTGGATATTAAAATATAAGGTAATAAATTTGAAAACTTAGAAGAAATGGACACGTTTTTTAAAGTATATTATTTTCAAAACTAATATAAGAACCTGCCAGTCCTATATCTGTAAAGCAGTTGAATCAATGTTTAGAATCGTCTTGTAAAGAAAACACCAAGCTATGATTGGTTTTTTTTTTTTTTTTTGCTATGATTGTTTTATAGGCAAATTTACTGAATTTTCAAGGAACGGAAAATTCCAATATTATATAAATTCTTCTAAGGAATAAAAGAGATACTTGCTAGTTCATTTTTTGAGGCCAATATAACCCTGATAACAAATCAGACAGGAGATTATGAGAGAGATAAATTGCAGGCTGGCTTCTCTCACATGAATACACACGCGATGTTTCTAAACAAAATATTGGCAAAATGAAGTCAATATTGGCTGATGAAAATTGTAGTGGCAGTTGGATTTTTTCAAAAAATACAGAGATTTAACATTAGAAAAATGATAAATCTGGAGTTCCGTGGTTGCCTAGTGGTTAGGATTCTGGGTTTTGACTGCCATGGCCTGGGTTCAGACCCAGGTCAGGGAATTGAGATCCCACAATCAAGCCTTATGGTAAGGCCAGAAAAAAGAGAAAAATAAAGAAAGGAAAACAATAACTCTTTCACTACATTAACAGATTAAAGAATGAAAACCATATAATCATTTTAGACACAGCAAAGCATTTGATAAAATTCAGCACTAATTTATGATTTAAAAATAAAGATTTTTAGCAGCTCGAAGTGAAAAGTTATTCTTAACCTGATAAAGGCTATCTTCTAAAACTTTACAGAAAATAATATTTAAACAGAAAAACATTATAAGCATTCTCATTAAAAATAGGAATAAGACAAGGATATACTTTTATCTAGTAAGTTAAGGAAAATAAGTTAAAGGCATAAATACTGGGATAGGAGAAACAAAGCTCATAATTTACAGATGTTTCTTTATATAGAGAAAAATAATAAATTATT